CTATAATAAGTAATGATGTATTTTAATACGAAATTGGAACAAACCTGTAGTTAAATATAATAGAATAAATACTATAAAACGTAAATTAAATTTATTTTTTTCTGATAATATTGTTTCCTTAAATCAGATTATCTAAAAGATTTAAATTTATTATCGACTACATTTCTATATTATATTAAATTAGGTCGTTTAATTTGTGTCTTAATAAGTGCATAGTTTTCAATTAATTAAAATATTTTGTCTATATTTTTCATTATTACGTTTTTAAATAAATTGGAATGAAATATGAATATACCGACATATGAATAGTCGGAAGGAAAGGAACAAGTCACAACTGTTATTTTGCTCAACATTTAACAATAGTAATGAGTTTGGCGAAATTATTGGATAATTTTTATATTTAGTTCAACATTAAATCCTTATTCTTTGATTAAATTGTGAATGTATTCACTATCAAAACTCACGAATAGCACTTACAATGATCACAATTCTTCAACTCCACCCACCAACTTTATGTTGGACGACTGACGAACGACTTACCTACCGAGTTGTCAGATTGGAAGAATACGATTAGCGTACGTAGCCTCTAAGAAGTGACCTAGTCGTATTTACTGTGACCCACTGACCTATTTCCTAGCTACGCTAATTACCGAAATGTAAATGGGGCCTTTCAACCCCATTGTTAAATCATCAGATGCGTTTTAGCAGAAAATACCTTCATGACCTACTTTTTTCAGAATAGTCGTTAGTAGGGTTACTAATGGATGGTTCCGCGAGGTTTTTATCCTGAATTTATTTTAGAATCCTTATTTATGTTTGAATCTGGCAGTAGCAAATATTTTGTTCGTTTTGTGATATCAGACCTTCAGCAACGAAACTGCGCATAAATCTGGTGGTTGTTACTGACTACATCACTTACTTGTAAACCGTTGGTCAATAAATAGTAATTACTAATAATCATACGAAGCTCCTTACATCGACTAATAAAAGGTTAATCGAACCGGAAGGTTCAATGCCGAAGTAATTAATCGGTATAATAATGTAATTAAAAAATCAAAGAATACTGTACTTTTTTTTCTCTTCAAATATGTATCCGCACCTGTCATAGTATTGACAATAAGCAGATGTGTTGTGATAAATAAGGATCGACATTAGAGGCATGAGGCAGGATAGCACCCATCAGCACCTCTTCCTGATCATTATTTACTTCCTTGACTTAGATGAAAGACCTCTCATCCAGCTCCTTCTTAGTCTTCTTCTGATGGTCATGTCAGTCGTGTTTGTGTGTCCGTGTAGTTTGAGATGAAAACAAGAGTAGAGAATACCTATGTGTTGTTCTATAGTTCAGGGTGTCGTAAGCCGTTATGTAATGTTTTGTTGTTGAAGTAGCAGATAGCTCCTGTTATAATTCGTAAAATTATGGATTGAAATGACTGTAGTTTTTGTAAGTGAGTCATTTTTGCCGAATCGTAAATCTGAGAGGCGTATTTCCAGATGGGTTTGAGCAGGTAAGTGTATGTATCTATTTTTGTCGAACTATCAATTTCGATTTAGAAAAAAGTGAGTACAGTATTTTCAGTCGCTTGTTCAAAGTCTGTCGTTTCATTTTGTCGTGAGGGCCCCAGGTCATCCTTCCGTCGAATACTAGCCCAATGTAACGTACTGTGTTCGGTTTTTTTTAATTTAGTAAATTATTTTGTAAGTTAAGTGAGACCACTGTGAGGTTACAGTGTTTTGTTAAAATTCTCCTATCGTCAGCATAATTAGCAGTCAATGCTTCGGAATCCTAGATATGTCATACGTATATGTAATGTAGAGGTATAGGAGCCAATATTGATCCTTGAAGTACTCCTGCCAATACTGGTCAATCGAGGAAATTTTTATACCATCGAAAATTAATACTGAAGGTTAGTGGAGAATGAGATAGTATGTGTAAGGTAGTACATTTTTGAGATTACAGGGAAACATTTTTTTTTTTTTTACAAAAGTATATAAATAAATTACATGACTGGTTTAAACTCTGCGAAACCCGACTAAATCAAGACAAACCACGTTAACTCTCGACATAAAACAGGTCCTCCACTTTTTATTGACAATAGACAGATTCCACTAACAAATGCCGTTCACTTTCTTGGTCTGAGATTTGTTCGAAAAAATGCCATGGGGCCAATATATTACGAAAAAAAAAGAAAACAATACTAGTAATTCTAAATTCACTTCTCTGTAAACAACACTCAAAATTAAAAATGAGATAAAAATTGAACACATATACTTTATAAACCTATTTAGAACTGGAAACATCACAGACATTTGGAACAGCTGAAAAGACTTAACTCAATTAACAAACTTCAAACATTCACACGGCGACTGTTAAGGAATATATACGAATCTATTATAAACCATTGCATGACGAATTACAGGCACATCCTAACGTATTCATAAATGACACGACCACAACACACATGCAAGGCAAGTCCGTAGAAGGTTGAAGAGGAACTGTAGGAGGGATCTCCTCGCCAAACAATCAATATAAATATCAAGCCAGGAGGATGTGCCGCTGGGTGCTACTGTCCCTTATGCCTCTCATTGTATTTACAGAAACGAACATAAAATTCACTTATTGTTGATGTTTTCGTGTGAATAAAAATATTAAGTTAAAAAAGAAGTTTTTATATAATTCCTAACATGTTAGTGCGGCAGTTAATTAGCGACACTAGGTTTTTTTTTTTCTTTTTTTGGATAACATTAAGATATAAATGAGATTTGTCATGTATTGATTTTGCAATTTAAATGAAAGAGAGTTAATTGGAGGGCATTGAATTAAAATATTATTTTAGTAAATTGACCTGAAGATATTGGCACCGCAGTTTTAAACTCGAAACCTTTAAACGAAAAATACGAATACGTAGTCTCATTAAAACGTGGATAAAGAAGAATATTAAATATTCATACAAACAAAATTAATTTTAAACGAATATAGCGAATACCTTCATTACTTTCATATAAATCAGTGAATCACTTCAAAGCATTATAATCATTATATTTATGTTATATTCTAACGGATTTACACTAATTCTTATTAATGCTAATATCGAGTATTCTGATATCCCATATGCCTATATAGGAATATGCTCTTTCTTACTATTTTATTCTTAATACAATAAGAAAAAAGTTCTTAATACAATAAGAAATATGTTTACTATATTGGATATGCACCAGGAGTCTCTTGAAACTAAGCTGCTTATGAAGATTTTTGTAGAGTTGAGAGCGATTTACACGACCACTAGAGAAAACACGAGTGTACCGAATGGTTTCAAATTTTAAACAGAGATCTTCAGGGTACAGATTATTGGTACTGGCGATTTTTTTTTTCGCTTTTCTTTTTCCACTTTCGACAACACATACGATCACCAGATAATGATTCAGTAAAGTGTAGGTACCAAACAGGATTTCTATTACTAAACTGTCAAGTTCAAGATCTTAAGACGGAAAACATTCTCGAAATTAATAGTGCCGATTTCGTCTTTTTGTAAGCTAAATACAACTGGTTTTAAACCCGAATAAGATCAATTAATCTCCAGGAATCTTGGAGTAGACAAGCCCTTGTAAGATTATTTGTTACTGTCTTATTAATCTGGGAAGGCAGTGATGGATGATGTGCCATCCTTGGCAAACTCCTATATCGCCTTCACCTTTTCCACTTTTATTGTTCCTTTTAATTTACACTTTTTATATATTTTTATTATTAAATATCAATATTTATATGAAAAAGCAAAACTGTGAGGAAGTTATGGTCTAGTTAGGATGGAGAGCAACAAGATGTTTTCTGGATTTTTTTCATACTTGAGGCTATTGTAAGAATACATTTTTTTTTTTTTGAAAACAACAAAAACGGTAGAGAGACGAGTGTGCATTTTATATCCGTTTCATAATCCGTAGAACAAGGCTTTAGGATTTTCGACAATATTTGATACATGTACATACGCTATATATGTAAAAAACTGTGGCCTGAAATTAACGATAATACGACCTCTGCTTCTCAGTCGTATTTTTTATCCATATTTCATTTAATTTTTAATTTTTATTATAATTATAAATTAAAATAACATTTTAAATCTTCCTAATTAATTGTAAATAAAAGTGATTATTATTATGATTACTTTAGTTTTTAAATCTTCATTTATTTTTCATATATTTATTAATTAATTATTCCTACTTGAACTTGTGATTTGGGGCTCCACTAAGCTTTCGAATTCTTCTCGTATCCAATCTTTATAATTCAAAATCCTTCATAAAATCCTTAATGTTCCTTACTTTGTTACGAATAAAATTATCCATAACAACCTGAATGTTCCTTATGTTTTCAGATACCTATCGTTCCATAATAAACTTCAGAACCATCTGAAACCTCTCGTTTCTAGCTTTGCTCTCTCTTCGATCCCTGATAATTCTCAGAGGCGTCTGAAAAGAAGATGGTCTCGAGATCTCCTATTGTATAAACATTTTTAGAGTGCTACCAGTGGGTAGTTTCTCAACCAGTGTTTTGATGTTATTATTTCTTGTTATCATATTTACTGAATGTATTTTTATTTTTAATACAGTTGTAAATATCATAAATAAAAAAATCTTCATTTACTAATTTCTGGCTATTCACTTGGGGTCCAGGGGTTTCCAGTGTGTATACTCTAGGCATGTGTGTATACTCTTCATTCACTAAATATATTTCTATTGGTTCCAGCAGGAAACTGATGTATTTAAAAATATACTAATTAATTATTTAATATTAATAAGTAAAGCTAGTACCACAGATCCCTCTGATATGATATACTAGATTGATTTCTTTCTAAATCTTTAGAATTTAATTAGTGCAATGTCAGTAATTTAATTATTACAATTTGTATATCTAAATGCAAAAAAAAATATAAACATCAAGTTCCAATCAGAAAAGAATATATTTGTGATTTTGAACATCACAATACATTGAGGGTGCTAATGTGGGCATGACTATTCACTCCATTTCTTCTTTTCGATATCACTTCTTCCAAGTTCTCTTACCAGCGCCTTCATCTGACACTTTGCTGGACAAACATCTCCAAGCGATTCCTCTCCATACTCCCCAGTTCCATCCGAAATTATTTTCATCTAAATTTCTTCCCCTGTTCTTTTTTCTCTTGTCGTTAGGAGGAACAATGCGTTTTGAACTTCTAAAATAACCCAAATTTATTTTACCTATCATATGCATCTTTATTTTTATTTATGTTTCAGAGTTTGTTCTGTAATGTTAATTATCGAAAAGTAAATAAATATAATAGTTTTTAGAAATACCAATACTTACGTTATTTTTGGTTAAATAGTTGTGATAAACTAAGAGCTGAAAAAATAAAAAATAATTGTTTAAAACAGCTGATCGTTTATGGGTTTTCCATTTTAAACAGGAGGCAGTCGTAAGAAAGAGTGCTTAGGAACTGGAATAGGGAGCCAATGGCAGCTTTAATTGCTACTTAAACGGAACGGGTTCCCGATACTGCTCCTGTTAAAAACAATGAAATGTAATCTGACTACCAGCGCAATAATTGTATCCGTTATTTATTGTCTAATTCTCTTCATTACCCAGCAGTTTGGATGCATCTGATAGCGAGGGGTGAATTAGAAATGGCGTCCTCTTCTCTCTAGCATAATAGTCTAGTTTTTTTGGATTCAAGCCTGTAGCAGGAGCGTTTCAATCCACAATTTGCTCTTTGGATTATTTTAATAGATTATGTTATTGTTAATTAAAATATAACGGTACTGTATCTGTTCTGGTATTATTTTTACGGTCGTAATCATATGTTTTCAATATTTAAGTTTCACATGAGTACCCTAGAGGTAAAGGCAAAAAATTCCTTTTTTTTTTTTGTTTACTACATTATATATTATATATAGCTTAAATCTGGGCTTAGACACATCAAAAATAGTAGATCATAAACAAGAAAAAACAAAAAGCACAAGAAACCGGGTGCTTAAACATTTCTGTATTACCAGAGAAACAAAAATAGCGTACGGATGAAACGAAATTATCAGGAATTTCAGTCACGATAATATTTGTTGGGCTAGCCGACGATTCGACCCAAACATGTGGGTCATCATCAGGTATATGGTATTGATGTCAAGACAAGAATCCTAAATAGCGTACGTTACGAATCGCATTTGCCTTAATCTATCATTTAAAAATTAAACCAAAGGAGACAAAACAAAATAAAAAAATCCGTAGCATTCGTCAAAGGAGAAGGTAGATGTAGAAAATTAATTTAAATCACAAACAGTAAACAAATGTCTAACAACGAAATTTTACTTACAATCTTGTGAAATGTCTAAACATATGTGACTGATCTGGAATTTCGTTAATCTGGTTTGTAGTTAAAACTTCACTTGTTCTTTTCACCAAGTTCTGCCTTATAATGCTCAATCACATGAACAGATATAAGCAACAATTGAGCAAATTTTGTTCGAATTACAACAAATAAATGTATCGGATAATAAATAACTCCTTAACTATATTTTATTTTTCCTTATTATGAAATAATGCCTAGTTTTTAAAAATATTGCCGATAAGACCTGGTTACGATTTATCTTAATAAATACGGGTTATTCTATACTCATGTTCAACTTTGGGTTAACAGCAGCGTAGGTTTTAGATCGTTAAAGGAGCCCCTGACAATATGATAATCAACCCATATTTTTTTTAAAAAATCCGAAAAGTTGCGAATTCTTTTTTTGCGGATTTCTAAAGAAATCCGAAAAATTAGTAATTCTTTTTAACTACTATGAATATATTAGTTGGTTCTAAAAGATTATTAGAACAACGCATCATTCTAAAACTTAATTAAAAACATTTTCAAATATTGTAAGCATTCGTTTTAACAATCAGTGTGGATTTAGAAATACTGAAAGATCTGTAAAAAAAGAAAATCTTTGAGTTTAAAAAAATCATAATACTTTCAGAAATAGTAATTATTAATCTTAAGCATCAATCACTGAAAACTTTTTTTTTTACTTATATCCATCTGCTTGTTGAGGCCTCATATAACGTTCAAATTCTACATTTGAATTTTTTTTAAAGCATCAATTTTTATTTTTTTAAATTATTCAGCATTCCGAATAAAATTCATAGATATGGAAAAAAGTTCTATTTTAAAAATATAAAACAAAATTAATAGAAAGAGTTCTTAGTTTACGTTTAAATTGAGTAACAATTAAACAAGAAAAAAACATTAACGAATACTTCTGAACACGAAAAACGCTTTTCCAAGGGAAGTAGTCGCTTTGGTAAAGAGAAAGGCTCTTGAGAAATGGCAGGGTATCTGGCATGTTTTAATAGACAAGTTGGGAGTGATCGAGCCTTTTGTAGTTCCAAGTCGAGCGGACTTGAGCAGTTGAACAGAAGAAAACAAATAATCCTGACAAGGCTTCGAATCGGGCACTGACGGCTAACTCATGAGTAACTGATGACAAAGGGGACAATTTAACAGATAGGCACATTTTGACTGAATGTGATTTGAAATGAATGCCTATGAAGCACAACGAAGTGAAGTTGAATTGGAGAATGATATAACTGAAATTTTGAAAAACATCTCCAAATTGGCAAATAATAATAATAAATAAGGAGGTCGGAAACGAATTAAGTCTCTAAAGTTTAAAAAATTGCAGAAATGTAAAATTCCCCACGTATCTTCTTATCGCTGAGACTTCCTCGAAAAAAATGCAGTCGCATCAATTCCGTCCGTGAAAGATCAACGCCAGCCCCAGCGATGACTGCAATTTATCTTCTACTGAAAATAAATGGAGGCAAAAAAAGTACGGATTGAATGAACTTTTGGTGAATGAATGAGTACAGGACATATCTCACTGAGCCACGCCACGGGTGACGATAAAAGACAAAAACGACGATTGTTCCTAGTTTTCATTGATTGTAATTGTCCGCCGGTTCCCTTTTATCGCCATTCTGGAAATAATAGGCAGTTTTTGGGAATTGGCCCAGGCCTCTCTCTCTCTCTGCAACAGGCCGTTTGGAACGGTGAAGCTGGTCGGACCTTTGCGGGCCACATTGACAACCGAGGGGAAGATATATCTGTCTTCTTTTCACAACTTTCTTTCTTCTGCTATTGTTTTATTCAAAATGATGCTAGAATAATTAATGAGAGGCATTTTTCAATTCCACGTAGTTTTATAGACTCCGTTGTATTATAAATTTTGTTTGATTTATTATGCCAATCCCTTCCACGACTGCCAGTGATATTGACATAATAATTCTGCTCTTGATGCTGGTACATTTATTTTACTGCTGTGGACTGTATATGAGATGTCTGGTCAATATATAATTATGCTATTGGAGGAAAATATTTGTTACTATATTTACATTATAATTTGCTTTATTAAGCCAGATCTAAATAAAGTCGATACAAACATTTTGCTAGGATTCAATACTGGAACGGTGGTAGGTCTGTAGATCGTCTTCTTTTCACAACTTTCTTTCTTCTGCTATTGTTTTATTCAAAATGATGCTAGAATAATTAATGAGAGACATTTTTCAATTCCACGTAGTTTTATAGACTCCGTTGTATTATAAATTTTGTTTGATTTATTATGCCAATCCCTTCCACGAATGCCAGTGATATTGACATAATAATTCTGCTCTTGATGCTGGTACATTTATTTTACTGCTGTGGAATGTATATGAGATATCTGGTTAATATATAATTAAGCTATTGGGGGAAAATATTGTTATATTTACATTATAATTTGCTTTTTTTAAACCAGATCTAAATAAAGTCGATACAAACATTTTGCTAGGATTCAATACTGGAACGGTGGTAGGTCTGTAGATCGTCTTCTTTTCACAACTTTCTTTCTTCTGCTATTGTTTTATTCAAAATGATGCTAGAATAATTAATGAGAGACATTTTTCAATTCCACGTAGTTTTATAGAATCCGTTGTATTATAAATTTTGTTTGATTTATTATGATTAGTGATATTGACATAATAATTCTGCTCTTGATGCTGGTACATTTATTTTACTGCTGTGGAATGTATATGAGATATCTGGTTAATATATAATTAAGCTATTGGGGGGAAAATATTGCTATATTTACATTATAATTTGTTTTTTTAAACCAGATCTAAATAAAGTCGATACAAACATTTTGCTAGGATTCAATACCGGAACGGTGGTAGGTCTGTAGATCGATACGGAAAAAATTGGATCTTGAAGATTTTGATGCGTACAGTAAGACCCGGATCTTGTGTTTTTAAGCCCAAAAACGTAGTATTTTCGAGATAACGCAAGGCATACGGTTCGCATCCACAAAACCTCAAGTTAATTGTAGTACTGTTATTGAATACATGTCTCATTTCGTCGACTTGAGGCCTCTTTGATCGAGAGAGGAGTTTTTATTATTTATCGATGGTGTTTTTGATCGGCAAGCCATATCATCGTTGATTCTTCACCAAATCTCAAGATCGAGTCACCAATTTCGAAGGCTTCCTTCTCCTTCTGGCGGACAAAATAGTCCAATCACCCCGAAAATTCAGGCAAACAAGTTATGAAAAAAAATACAGCTTTATTTGCGAATAACTAACAAATTACACTTTACAAATTACACACTTTTCCTTTGGTTATGCCCATGATTATATAAAATATTACTAAATTCGCTACAAAAGGGGAAAAAAAAGTCATCGAAATCGAACAATTTTTAGTATATTATTGAATTTACAGATATAGATTATTGAAATTTGTAAACATGTTGGTTCCAAACATTAATGGAGATTTAAATTAATTTTTGTTTACTTTGTCGATTATATTTATCGATAAAGTAACAATTGATTTCTTTATCTTTTGATATGTTGCATTATTTTATTTTATTATTTGGCATTTGACAACAATACGCTGTGCAAATTTTTCGCACGGGCCATACTAGTTGCAAGTCTTTTAACTATGAATTAGATGGGTGGTGGCTGTAAATGAATTAATGTACTTGCTGCATTCTTCTATTCTGCATTCCTCCCCCTCTCATCTTCCTCTCTTCTCCCTGCTAAACCGCTTCAGTTTCTACTCCATCTCTTCTATGAAGGCTGTAAGATATAATCTTCTTGCTGGTCAGCTATGCTCCAGTCTTAAAATTAGATGCATGTCTATTCAGTTTTTTTTTTTGCTTCTCAAGCCTGCTAAGAGATGGCAGCTTTGATGCTTACTTCCCAACTAGATTCAAAATTAAAGCATGTTCAAAGCTGGAACATGGCTGTGTTCCCTTAACAATTTTAGTATTTAATTCTTTAATTGGTTTTATTTACTTATTTTATTTTTGTTGATTATGTAGAACGGAGCATCTCTTTGAATTTGAGAGGACTGACCTTTGATAGTAGATAAATTAGGAGGCCATCCTTCAACGGCCCAGGTTCCTGCCCGAAGACATTTGTTCCTCAATTATTGTTTATAACTGAAAACTAACTGTCCCGTGAGAATTCGACCATCTATTATGAATTCTGGAAATACATTCCTTCTCTTCCTAAAACGGGATGAGCCCTCTCTTAATCATTTCGTACATTAAACCATCCCAAAATTCAATACACAATTCCAAGGTTAGAAGTCAGACCTGTGACATAAGTTTTAGGTCCGTACAAGGCTACTTTGTTGAAAGTGTCAATATAAATGTTTATTTTACAATAAACGTAAATCTTGCAGTCTTTACTGTTGTGAGAGTTCCTTAATTTGTACAGTTAATGATGTAACAACCTAGTTAATTATTTTAAGGAAAACGGTTGTGTAAGGAGGAGGAGGAGGAGCTATGATATAATAACGACGACCCGTGAGGCGGAACTCCTTCAAAACTCCTTTTCTATAAAACGGCTACAAGAGGCTCTCGACTGCAGAGCTCGTTACCGGGAGGTGGGAGCTAACAACTCCTACTTGCTCCTGCAATCGCTTCCTCTAACTGAGATAATTATCGGGAGATGGTTGCATCGCAGTCAGTTATGTATCCTCTTTATTCTCCCTCGTTAGCGGGGTCTTAGGAGACACTTCAGGGCTCACGGTTAGCTAGAAGGTTGTATATAAACATAATTGCATTCTTAGAACAGGATTCAAGACTTAAGAAAGTATGATTCCAATTTTCACAATACCATTGAAGTAAGTTGATGTCCTCATAAAAAAACTTAAATAGTTTTATGGCGTTTAAAATTTCATATATATACATGGGAACCACTCAGAGCCTATCAAATAAATTCTTAACCTCATTGTTATCATGTTCTCAATATAAATAGGTACTTATGTGTTCCGACTAGTGTCACGTTCTGACTATATCTTGACTCAGTACCTAAGTCTTAAAAAATCTT